TGCTGTTTACTCTGATTACATTTTCTAGATCAGTGTGGATCATAGTTAACAAATAATTACGAAAAAAGAGTAATCTGTCTGATACATTTTCTTATAATTTATTTGAACCTCTTGAAAAATGTAAAGTGTTGCTAGAGGCTTCTTTTCTGGCATTCAGAACTCTTACCAGGAATACTCATTTAAAAGCACTATTTTAGTTAAAAAACGCGATAAAGGTATAACTCCCTCACCCAATCAGAACAACAGAACTAATGAAAGGGTCAGAGAGATGTCAGTCTAGCTCACTCTGCACTTACACCCTTTTTAATATTTTGTTCCTCCTTAATAACCCGTTAATCAGCATCAGGCTCTTAATCACATATTGGGCATATCCTGTAGTACAGTGTAAGACATTTCCTGATTGTATAATTATCTAAAGTGTGACAAAGCTTGGCCATTCAACATTAATCATAATGTAATATTTGCTTTTCCAATGAAAGGGAGAACTCGCACTTTTGAGATTTTACTGTTGCAGAGAGCAAAACACTGACTTCTGTGTCAAAAATTGACACAGCCTTCATTTCAAGGATAATCACTCCCATTCAGAGCTGGTTCTCTGATTGTAACCCAGTGACCAAACAGCCTCTTTAGTTAAAGAGGCCACAGTTTGCAACCATAAAGTGACTCATCAGATCAGGAACCCAACTAGAAGCAGGTTTGTTGCTTTTTCAACACTAAGAGCAACAATTTGTCCTCTAGGTTCAGTTAACACAGACTATAATGCGCTGACATGTTTGATGGAGAACAGTAATGGAAAACAAGATGATTCTTGGAACATGCCATTGTGTACCTGAGATTTATTTTTAAAACAACTCATCAGATTTGGCTCAGTGGAATTTTGTTTTTGGAAATCCAGCATGTGTCGCTGACACAAGTATTAAAGGTTGGGCTGTGCGATATGACCAAAATCTCATATCCCGATATAAGAATTCTATCGTCCGATAACGATATAAATCACAAAAATGTAACATTTTCTGTAAATTCTGTGAATCTCGGGCAGCTCGACTTGCGGGAAGTGTTTCCAGCTGCGCGTCATGTAGCTGGAGTCGAGTGTTTTAACCGATGCATGAAACGATACATTTTTAGACATAAGTTGTAACGGCCGCCGTTTTCTTTGTGAGTATTTATTACACGGCGTGCTGCGGGGAAAAGCCTGTTCTAACGTTTGAGTCTAAGGTTTATTTTTTAGCACCTGGCGGCTCTTTTTTACTTCTCATCCGTAAATAATCTGCTCTTTCACGTGATTCAGTTTATTTTGAAAAGTCTCAACAGGATCTTGAGCTTTATTGTGAAAGGTTTATGTGGAACATAAACAAGCGGACACGCGATGCTGTTACGTTGTTGCTAACCACAATGCATAAAAACAGGTAAACAGTTTATTTTGCGACACCACGAAACAAAGGATAGCGTAAAATGAAACGATAGACATTTTTATATCGTCATCCGATATATATCGTTATATCGAACAGCCCTAATTAAAGGTAACAAAACTTTCTTGGAATGATCTACAAGAATGTTGGAAGTGGTGCAGGACTGCCCAAGGAGGTTATCTTAAAATCAGGTTTAATTTTTTACATTTTTATATACTTTTATATACAAGTTTTGTAACTTCACAATCATGAGTTGTAGTTACATTGTGACAGTTAGACCAATAAGACCTACAAAACCATTTAAATAATAACTTCTACAAGCAGTGCAGAAAAAATATAATGTGAAATCTTTAATATTTTTAAGTATTATTTTTTATAGTTATTAGTGTCCTTGAATTAAATAAGCAGATGGATGGATGGATGGATGGATATTTATTTGAGAAAGTTCATTGATGAGTTAAGATAAATTAAATGAAAACAATTAGTGCATATTATTGAGTTTTCTTAAAGTTTGCTCTCAGATTTGTTGCTTGAACTGATCTAACTGTGTGCTAAACTTGGTTTAATAGGTTAAACTGGGGAAAAGCATGAGATGGATTTTCTGTAATTGGTTGCAGGATTTTGAGTTTTGGGGTTTAAATGTTTGTTTCCATTCTCGTACTCTAAGATTTTGATTATTTGTTAAGCTGACTTTGGGATTTCCTGTTTTGATTTATTTATTAGGGGCAGCACGGTGGCACGGTGGTTAGCACTGTTGCCGCACAGCAAGAAGGTCCTGAGTTCAATTCCACCATCAGGCCGGGGTCTTTCTGTGTGGAGTTTGCATGTTCTCCCCGTGTTCGCGTGGGTTCTCTCCGGGTACTCCGGCTTCCTCCCACCGTCCAAAGACATGCAGCTTGTGGGGATAGGTTAATTGGATAATCCAAATTGCCACTAGGTGTGAATGTGAGTGTGAATGGTTGTCTGTCCCTGTGTGTTGGCCCTGCGACAGACTGGCGACCTGTCCAGGGTGTACCCCGCCTTTCGCCCTATGACAGCTGGGATAGGCTCCAGCGCCCCCCGCGACCCTGAAAAGGATAAGCGGAAGCGAATGGATGGATTTATTTATTATTAAAAGTATTGTGAGTGTTTTTTATTTCAAGGTTTCTACTGATATTTGTAGTAGGAGTAGTAGTAGTTTTCCTTACTCTGATAAAAAATAATTGGCTTGTATATTTAAACAGACTAATAACATACAGAAATTTCCTTAACAACCTAAGATCAGCCACATAAGTACAGAACTCTGATTCCGCCTTCAGATGATTCCTCCTTCCTTCTTATGAGATGCTAACAAAATGCTTTTAAGGGAATTGAGAAAAAATCAAATATACGAAAGATGTCGATGAATTAAGGTATTCAAATTGAGTGAAGTCATTGTCATGTTGAAAATACCCCCCAGTTTTGGATGATTTGAGCTTTGTGATATGGCACGTAATCCTCAGAAGGTGGGTATGCCCTTATCATAAAGGGATAGCATTTTCTATGGTTATGTAGGAAAGTTGCAGCAGATCAGCAGTTTCTGAAATACTCAGACCAGCCTGTCTGGTACCAACAAACAGGTTCAAAGTCACTTAAATCAACTTTCTTCCTCATTCTGAAGCTCAGCTTGAACTTCAGCTGATTGTCTTGATTATGTCCACAGGCCGATATGCACTGAGCTGCTGCCATGTGATTGGCTGATTAGATATTTATGTTAGTTGGCAGTTAGACACTTCTAAAATAATAATCGGAAAAATGAGTTCCTGACTAGGAAAACTGAAAAGTCTGAGAAAGTTTCGGCAGATACAGACACCGAGTTGTTGACATCATATAGGCAGCATCATGGAGGATAAAAGTTGATGTCAATTCATGGTTAAAATAGTCCAAATTCACATCTTTTGTTTTTTTGCAAACATTTAGCTTGTAATTTAGGATTTTCACTAATGACCACTCCTCTAGGAAAAGAGCATTACTACACAAAGAATACTTTCACATTTAATGCTCCAGTATATTTGACTTATAATACTTGTGTACTATCAGTCAAACCATTTTGAATGATTGAAAAAACAGAACAAAACAAAAACAAAGTGGACGACACATGTACTTACACTCACTTGCACCTCCATTGGTATCTGATCAGGGGAACCAGCTCTCTCTTCCATGACTGGACCATTACTCTGTGACTGCGAGGCTCCCTGAACTGGTGTGTCGGGGATGAAATCAAGCACCGGCAAACCTGAAAAAAAAAGTCAAAGCAAGGTAAAAAGACTGAAGAAAGGAAATTCTATATCTGAAAATAGTTTAATGGTAACATAGGAGCAACTATTTATGTAATTTACTGTGTACAGTACTGTCAAAAGGTCTTGAGCTACTCCTCATTTCTATATTTTTTACTTCCAAGGAGCCAGACTTCCTTCTGATTTATTAAAGTGCTCTTGAGTCCAGGAAGGTATTTTGAAGGTTCTTTTGGACATTGGTTGCTTTTTCATTCATTTTCTGTCCAGTCCTGGTAACTGGCTATTCACAGCGGACTAGTGTTTTGTTTTTTACGTTCCCTAACACTGACCTAAGTGTAAAAAAAAAGTATAAATTGTATGTGTAGGCACTTTATTACCAGCACCCAGTTGCAAAAATGCATAATGCGTTCCCAATCCTTTAGCTGAATTCACAAAATATGTCAAAGACAAACACAATTTCTTTGTGTTATTAAAGAAAATGTGTATGGACTGACCCAGTGAAACCTCATAAGAAATGGTCTCAGTGGAAGGGTGGTTATCAAGAAGCTATTCTTAAGAAAGAAAAACAGGGAAAGGGCTGATGCATGGCAAATTACATAAGAACTGAACTGAAAATTAGTAGCAACAGGTTCAAATACAGACATCAACATTACTGAGGCACTGTGAGATCATCTTGCCAGAGACCTGAGCAAAAGGGAGCCAACATCCGAAGAAGAGCTTTGAAATGTCCTTCAGGAAGCCTGGAGAACAATTCCTGAAGACTACTTAAAAAAAATAACAGGAATGCTTACCAGACTAAGCAAGTTCAGTCTGTGCTGCAGAACAAAGGTGGTCAAGCCAAATATTTACTTTGAATCGCCTCAGAATTGTACAAACTCTATTTCTATATATGTCTGCAAATTTCAATAAGTTGCTGCCCACATTCCCATTTTCATAGCAAAACATAAAGAAAGAAAAAATTATTCAAGTATTAAATAATTACTAGTATTAGTTATTAGTTATTAGTATTAGTCTGGAGTTTGAAATTGTTGTTGAAGAAAAATTAAAAACTTAAAAAAGTCCAATTTAAAGTTGGAAATCAGTTTGAAAAGAAAAAAACAAATAACCACTCGAAGGTTTTAAGAAGCAGCAGCCGTGGTCAGTAAAGAGCTATTTAATATAACCGTGAGAATATTACTAGTTCTTTAATGAGGCTGCCTCTGAGTACACACAGCCATTCAGTGCACACACCTTTGCCTCCCTCCTGCTGCTCCTGCTGGGGGCTCTCCTGCTTTGATGCTTTCTGGATCTCAGCATCTTCTCTGATTTTCTCAATGAGCACTGGTTCGGTTGTCATGGCTACTGGGGATAGTCCTCCCTCCTCCTCAGAACTCCGAGTATCCTCCTCCTCCTCTTCTTCCTCGTTGTCTTCCCGTTCCTCTTCTTCACTGGCTGTTTCCATCGGCTCATTCTCCTGGAGAGAGGGTGACGGCGGCTGCAAGCACACATAAAGTTGTATCAGAAGAAACGCAATCAAAAAAAGGGTGGAGGGTGCACTGCTTTTCGAGATGAGTTTAAAGCTAAGTTAATCGCTCCCTAAGTTTTGAGGGGTTTAAGAGCATATCAGTCTGCTGAGCTTCTCCGGGGCAGACAGTGCTGCTCATAAACACCCCCCACTTGGAGAAAGACATCAGAAATAACGATAGCCGCCTACTATAGCTAAGTTTGCACGCACACACAGGGTGGAGAGGGAGAGCGCGAGGGAGGAGAGTGCGCTGTCAGAAATGACACAAAGGACTTAATGAAGCAAGAAACGGGAGGGGTAGTGGGACATGAACGGGAAGGCTATAATAAAAACGTTAGAATGGCGCTTTTATTATATGAGTAAACACGATGTCCGGCTGATGGGGCTGAGTCCTCCGTCGGCCTGCGCGACAGAGCAGCGCTCACAGGAGCGCGGCAGCGGCACGTCTCAAGTTTAGACAGACACCGCCTACTGCGCGGCAGGCCCAGACACTCTGCGCTCCGGTGTGCACGGCTAAAGTTTATAGGAACGAAATCAGATGTTATTGACCCGAAAACAGCGAAGTGGAAACGAAATCTGTAGGTGCTCGTGCTCGCGCCGCGCACAGACGCTCTTTGGTGCGCGCTCTCGCCCTGGGAGCCGGGGAAAGCCGCTCCGGAGCTGTCTGCTCCTCTCTGTAACCCGCACCTTTTGTGCAGGAATCCGAGCTATACATACACACACAGACAGAGACACGCATTTGGCGAGGCTACAGAGGACAAACGCAACACAGGCACGGTCGCATCCCACTGACAAGCATTCGAGACAATAACGCATTTCCTCAAATGCCCTCAAACACTTTTTGAAACATTGAGGTTTGACGAGAAGAAGAAAAAACGAAGCACACGCCGGGCGACGGAAGCGCGTCCTAATGCTGTGCGTGCGGTTTCAACCCGCGATCATTAATTTATCGGCAATCCATCGAGCCAAAGCTGCTCGCTGAGCCCCGCACAGTCCAGACGTGTCGAAAATATTAAGTTAGCGTTGCCCACCTTTTTCACAGCGTGTTTGTCCTGCAGTGCGCTCTTTGCAAGTCTGTCAGCGGACGCATTCTTCGGCATCGGTTCCTCTACCACCACCCCCCTCAGAGGGAGAGTAATGTTCCCGCAGCGGGTCCTGCGCAGCCTGCCCCTCGCCACCTCTCTCTCCATGACCACTTTGACTTTGCCTCGGGTCAGCTTTTCCTCCGACAGCCGTTCCTGGCTGCTCAGATAGCCCAGGATCTCCTTCAGCCCAAGCGGCTTCATGTGGCCTCTGGTCACAGTGGCTGAGCCCCCTCGGAGGCTCTTCTCGGACAGGCTGCGAACAGAAGCGACTAATCTGTCGCCCAGGTCCGAGTTAGCGTGGTTCCCCGTTGTTTTGGTGCTCCCTCCTCCGACTCGAAGTTTGGGCTTGAGGGGAACAGACTGCTTCTGCCTTTGATTCTGATGAACACTGCTGACACTCCCAGGGCAAGTTTTGCTCTGCGTGTCAGCCCGGGACACAGCACACTCCTTTTCTGCGCTAACTGCACCGGCTTTGCTCTGAGCCGTCCTGCCGCCGTCAGCCCCGCTGTGTGCGCCTGTCCTGTGGCCGAAACCGGGCGACGGGCAGTCCCCCGCCGCCTGCTGTCCTAATCCCTTGTCTCTCGGTGCACTCGCTTTCTCCTCTTTACAGCCGCTCCCGACAGCACAGCCCGTTGTTGCGCCACAACTGAGGCACCCGTTTCCGCTACTCGGGCTGGAGGCAGGCTTGAGCTTTTTGCCGGTGGTGCTGCCTGATGTTTGAGTGTGTGGATCTGGGCTGGGCTCCGAGTCCTCCTCTGCCTCCTCCTGGTCCGTGAAGCTGTGCGCACTGTCGCCGTTGTTGTTCAGATGATCGTGTTTGGTCCGCTCCCTCGCTGCCTCCGCGCTGCTGCTGCTGCTGCCAGCGGCCGTAAACTCACTCTTCTTTCTGCTTTTCCTCTGCACCTTCGCCGCGTTTCGGTACGATATGGACCCCTTGTAGCTAACTTTGAGCACCGTCTGTTCTTGAATCAGTTTTTCCAATTCTGTCCTGGTTCGGTCCGGGTCTGACCCGTGTCGTCTCCGGACCATTCGACAGATCCTCTCCAGATCCGGACGGGCTTTTCTCGAGCGGAGAGAGTCGATTGTTTCCAGGATCCACTCTCGGTACTTGTTTGGCTCGGACATCTTCTCCTGCTGGTGCGGATGGGGTTTGGCCCGAGTGCGTCTCTTTTTCCTTCTCTGTTGTTTCACAAGTGACGCTGTGTCAAAGCTGGGAAGCCAAAGTGCGATCCCCGGCTGGAGAATGAGGACGGAAGCCTGGCTGGTACGCTTGCGTTCGTTTGCCACATTGTGCGCTTAAGGTGGACCGAAGATGGCGCCTATGGTCTCTGCCGCCAGAGACGCAAATTGCATTTAAGGTGGAATTGACTCGCATTCGCGTGGCTCAGAGCCACGTTCTTTGTTCGCAGTCTTATTCTGATCAGCCTGCGGTTTACAGCAGCACAGTGGATTTCAGCACAAAGAAACACGCACGCAGCCTCCGTCGAGGACACCCCGGGTATTTGCGTGTTATATTTTTGAGCGTTATGGCGAATGAGAGTGAGCCGCGCGGTCAACAGATGGGTGGATGACGGCTTCACCCCGCATCAGGCGGGAGTGATGGATGTCACCTCAAGACTACGCCAACCTCCCACCAAGAACACTTTAAATACCTCAGCATCCGCTCACTTTTCGGCAAACGTGGAACTTTCACGTTTCAGCTCCACACCCAAATGAGGACGCGGGAGTTCAGGAGAATTTTACAAGTAAAACTTTATTGGAATGATACTCATGTTGCAAAATATTACACTTCGTATTTTTATGTCACCGTTTCCGTGACTTTAGACGCTTCCCTTTGCAGTGTGTGTATGTGTGTGTGTGTGTATAGTATGTCTGTGGCGGGGGTTAATATGGTTTATATTGGGGTCTCATTTCCCTAAAAAGTGCGACAGTATGTACCAGCATTGTGCCTGCATGGAGAGGAAGTTGTATCACTGCAAAAACATCGAGGAGACACATAATAATATTGTATTATAACTTCAAACATTTTGTCCATGATGATATATTCAACATTAAACCTGACATGGAGGAAATACAGCGAATGTGAAACCTCAACAAGTGATGTAAACAGTTTATTAATAATAATAATAATGGTTTTTAAATTAACCAATAAGCCAGCTGATGACTACAACTAGGCTTACAGCTTGCAGCTCTTTCCACCATTTATCTGCCACTATGATTTTGGCGTCAGATTCATTGATAAAATCTGGAGTTTTTCAGCTGGTTAATCTGCCTCAGTGAAAAAGAAGGGGAAACATTAATACAGGAGAGACATGTCGGATCCATGTTAGTTGCCTTGTAAGTGACTCATTTCTCTGTGAAGCCCCAGGTTTACTGTGGCAGTTGGTTTGTGGTCATTTAACTTTACTTTTGGGACTATGCCACACACAAGCACAATATCCAGTAGCCTTAAAAGTGACCCAGCATTATTGTCCTAGTCCATTTATTCTGAAATGCTGTCTCCTGTTTCAGTTGATATCTCTTTCTCTCTGTTAAATAAACTAATAAAAGGAAATTAAATACACCACATCACCCGTGTAATTCTGACAGGCCTTGCAGAGTCACAAACAGCCTGCGTTACAAACTGTACATTTATGCAGAATTTAAAGGATGTGGGAGATGTAGGACTTTGTTTTTTGGAGCTTGACCCATGCAAGGCACTAATAAGATAACGCAGCCTCTGATGCAAGTTTACTAAACAGTAAAGCTGAATCACCGGAGTGGTCCTTTAAGACCTTCAGCTGACACTGTGCTTCTGTGATGCACATTCTCAAATTGATCTTTTTTTTAAACAAATTACCACACTGTAAATCTGGGGTCACGCACAGAGTGGGAAAAGAGTGTTGATAGAATAAATAAGTAAATATGGCAAGTGGACAATTAGCTGTGGGGGCTATTGTTCCATATTACAAATGATAGACACAAACCATTACACATAACAAATGTGTATCCTGGAGAAAATGCTTGATATATATATATATATGTATATATATATGTTTTTGCTATCTGAACTGTTTCAGACTCGAGGGAAGTATGTGAATTTATATTATCCAGTTTATAACGATGGGAGAAAAACCAAAGCGCCTGTATAAATCAAATTAGGAAACCATCATTATTGTGGCACATTAAATTACAGCAATAAAGAAGGCATTTTGATGTCTGAAACGAACATCAGTGTCACTTTGTTTTATCTCATAAATTGTGAATGAACAAATCCTACAGTAACAACCCTCTCTGGCCATTGCTGAAATATTCTGTGACCATAGCTCAGGAGCCAAGGAGACACTGAATACCAAAAGTGCTATTTGTTGTATTCTTCAAATCAGCAGGTTGTATACCATGCGCTATGATTATTTTTCTCTCTTCTCGGTATTAGCTCAATTCACCGCCAGAAGCTCTAGCTTTCACTAACTTGTTAAATGGAGTGCCAGTCATCTTTACATCATCACCAACACACAAAAAACAAAACGAAACAAAAACTGTGCATGTTTAAAACACATAAACAGTAACAGAGCTGCTGTCACATATAAGACTGTCACATAGAGTGTGGTCCTACTTTACAAGTGATAAGAAGAAAGGGATGGGTAATAAGATGAGGTGAACATGAATACATATTTCCATTGAAGACCATAAAAGCGCACTATCCAAACTGCCATCAGTGACTGGTCAAAATGCTCTGAAGGCCACCAGCCGGAAGCAGTTCAAGGTAGTTTGCCTCAAGCGGTCTCTTTCAGTTGGAGTAATCAAGGGCCAAAGGCTTGATTCAGTAAGCAGAATCACTGTGGCCATTACGTAAACTCTGAGCCGAGACAGGAAGTGCTTTCATGAAAACAAAGTTGTCGAGTCAGTTAGCAAAATCAAATCTTCTGGAAGGGCAAACTGTGGAAGACGCTAACCAAAAGTCTGAATATTCCCTTTTGTTTCTCTTAATTTGAACCAGAACTTTAAATTCCCAAATCCATATCACAGATTTACCTGCTGATCCTAACACTGTATGTTAATAAAATGTCTATTAAGTGATATGTTCAAACCTGAGATACCATTACGTTACAGTGTTTCTTTAAAACACCCTTAAAAACTGAGTTAATTCCATCCCCTTACTCGTATTTCCTTGTTTGTTAGCGTGACATGATATCATTGGAGCCACTAGTATCTAATAACATTTAAAATGGAGTACCGTAGATATGCACTAATTCTAACAATGATAAGAACGGTAGATGGATAGTTACACAGTAAACGTAACTGACTTTTTTTCCCCTTAAAACATCATCTGTCTCTCGATGAAATTTATTTTGCACACACAATGCATTCATTTTTTTTGTTTTTTTTTGTTGGCCCACCAAGCCTTAAGTTATGTCGTGTGTCTATGATATGAAAGGGTAAAAGTTTAAATTCTGAAGGAAAAATTGAGATAAAACTGCAAAATGTAAAGTCATCCAAGCTGAAAGTACATATGTGTGCAAGACCTATTAAACCTGCTACTTACATGCCCTTCCTGCTTAAAAAACAAAAAACAAAGAGCATGTTAGCCAGTTGTCGGTTAAAATTTAAGAAACTTTTGTCCAGACTGAGACCTAAACTTGCACAAAACTCATTAGTCTTCATGTAATGACTAAGAGGCTGGACTAGATCAGCACAGACAGACTGATTTCTCTTTGCTGCGGTGTGAATATGACTAAAAGATGGATTTAAAAAAAGGAAAAGGAAAAGGGAAGATCTCGGGTGAAAATGTGTAGAGGCAACTCCAAATTAGTTGGATTCTCAACACCCATGAAGCACACCTTCATTATAAAGGGATCCATAAATAAGACAGAATAATAAATAAAACACAACAAAAACACAACAGAAAAGGCAACACTGCTGGTTATCAGTCTCCTTGCTCTTTTTTCCTTCCCTTTCCGATTTTTCCTCTTTGTAGCTGGTGCTTGTGATTGGACAGGAGACAGTACTTTCTCCTTATGTCTCCCACTTGACCAGCCTACCTTTGACTCTCCCTATTTCCTTCTTTCTTCCTCTCTTGCTCTCTAACTCTAGAACTCAGCAAACTCCTTGGCACATTTCTCAGTGAAGGAGACGCGAATCTCCTCCTCCTCGTAGTCGTCGAAGTTGCTGGTGTCGCCTGGTCCTTTGAACTTGGGGATGAAGGGAGCTTCCACCTAAAGTCACATAAAGGAAACTATTATAAAACAAACTGAAGGGAAGAAAAGTCTCACATGCCACACAGTACACTCACCAAAACATACCTTTTTCTGGTAAATGGCAATCCAGTCAGTTGTTGCAAACCACTTGTGTCCCTTGATATCATTGACCCCATTTTTGAGGTTTCCATAACGTTTTGTGAGATCCACCTTAAAATAACACAAACATATTTTTCTCACGGTCACGTTAAAGAAAAAATAAATGTAACCTAAACGTCTGAATGCCTGCGGTATTTGCTCTCACCTGTAACAGGTTCCTTAGGAGGTCTTTCAGGTCTGAACTGAAGTGAGACGGGAAACGAACCTAAGGGCAGAACACAAAATGAGGATTGAACCAGTGATAACTTCATGTAGTGATGAGATTCAGGCTCTCGGGTTCGTTATCTTCTGTAGTGAAGCACTGGTAGATTCTTATAATACAATGACATGGCTCTACGTAGTTCTGGGAAAAACTAAGTACATCATATGAATCAGTAGCTTGTAGAAGAACCTTTTCCAGCAATAACTTCCAGTAATTTTCTTGAGAGACTTCCCAGACTTCTCACATTGTTGTGGAGGATTTTTAGCCCACTCTTCTTTACAATGGTTGCTTCGGTTCATTGAAGCTTGCTGGCGTGCATTTGTGCACAGCTCTCGAGTTCCAGCTACAGTAATTCAATCAGGTTTAAGTATGGACTTTGACTAGGCCGTTGAACCTTCTGTTTTAGATTTGCTCGTGTGTGTGAGATGACTTTCTCGTTGGTCAACCAAGCTTCCTTTGTCGGAAAAATGGTGTCACATTTGACTCTACAGGGAGTGCAAAATTATTAGGCAAATGAGTATTTTGTCCACATCATCCTCTTCATGCATGTTGTCCTACTCCAAGCTGTATAGGCTCGAAAGCCTACTACCAATTAAGCATATTAGGTGATGTGCATCTCTGTAATGAGAAGGGGTGTGGTCTAATGACATCAACACCCTATATCAGGTGTGCATAATTATTAGGCAACGTCCTTTCCTTTGGCAAAATGGGTCAAAAGAAGGACTTGACAGGCTCAGAAAAGTCAAAAATAGTGAGATATCTTGCAGAGGGATGCAGCAGTCTCAAAATTGCAAAGCTTCTGAAGCGTGATCATCGAACAATCAAGCGTTTCATTCAAAATAGTCAACAGGGTCGCAAGAAGCGTGTGGAAAAACCAAGGCGCAAAATAACTGCCCATGAACTGAGAAAAGTCAAGCGTGCAGCTGCCAAGATGCCACTTGCCACCAGTTTGGCCATATTTCAGAGCTGCAACATCACTGGAGTGCCCAAAAGCACAAGGTGTGCAATACTCAGAGACATGGCCAAGGTAAGAAAGGCTGAAAGACGACCACCACTGAACAAGACACACAAGCTGAAACGTCAAGACTGGGCCAAGAAATATCTCAAGACTGGTTTTTCTAAGGTTTTATGGACTGATGAAATGAGAGTGAGTCTTGATGGGCCAGATGGATGGGCCCGTGGCTGGATTGGTAAAGGGCAGAGAGCTCCAGTCCGACTCAGACGCCAGCAAGGTGGAGGTGGAGTACTGGTTTGGGCTGGTATCATCAAAGATGAGCTTGTGGGGCCTTTTCGGGTTGAGGATGGAGTCAAGCTCAACTCCCAGTCCTACTGCCAGTTTCTGGAAGACACCTTCTTCAAGCAGTGGTACAGGAAGAAGTCTGCATCCTTCAAGAAAAACATGATTTTCATGCAGGACAATGCTCCATCACACGCGTCCAAGTACTCCACAGCGTGGCTGGCAAGAAAGGGTATAAAAGAAGAAAAACTAATGACATGGCCTCCTTGTTCACCTGATCTGAACCCCATTGAGAACCTGTGGTCCATCATCAAATGTGAGATTTACAAGGAGGGAAAACAGTACACCTCTCTGAACAGTGTCTGGGAGGCTGTGGTTGCTGCTGCACGCAATGTTGATGGTGAACAGATCAAAACACTGACAGAATCCATGGATGGCAGGCTTTTGAGTGTCCTTGCAAAGAAAGGTGGCTATATTGGTCGCTGATTTGTTTTTGTTTTGTTTTTGAATGTCAGAAATGTATATTTGTGAATGTGGAGATGTTATATTGGTTTCACTGGTAAAAATAAATAATTGAAATGGGTATATATTTGTTTTTTGTTAAGTTGCCTAATAATTATGCACAGTAATAGTCACTACAAAACAAACTAAAAAACTACTTCCAAAAACATTCAGCTTTGATATTAATGAGTTTTTTGGGTTCATTGAGAACATGGATTGTTGTTCAATAATAAAATTATTCCTCAAAAATACAACTTGCCTAATAATTCTGCACTCCCTGTAGAATAAGCACACAATAACAGAAAAAACAAAACACATCACCCCTCCACAGAGTTGATTAATGGTTTGAGGTGTACGTGCTATTATGCTGTGTCTGGTTTTCTCCAAACGTGGAGCTGTGCATGTATGGCCAAACTTGTCCGCTTTGTTCTTATGTGTCTAACAGTCTGTACTCACAACAACATTTCACGCACAGATTTATCAATGTTTTCGTAGGTTTGTATTTTACATAATTAGAAGTCCTTCAGACTGTGTGCATGAACAAATGAGGGCATGACATAGGTCTTTAAAATGAGTATTACTACTTCTACTATACCACTGCTACTTATTATTATTATTATTTTTTTCAGTCATCATTTACAGTTGACCGTAAGGCCCCAAATACTCAGAATTACAATTAAATAAATAAATAAAAACCCCTCAAAATAAAACATGTGTAAACATAACTTCAGTCATTGTCTGATGTCATAACTTATCTTCTAATATTCTCTTTTTTGACACTATACCACAGATGGAGAATTTTGAGGCGTATTTTTGTTTTCTTTGTTTTTATTGCCATGCGTTTCTTATCTGGGTTTGACAGATCATGTGGTCCATGTCCTCCACCTAATTTCTTCTTTTTCCTGTAGTTTGTCTTTTTCATATCAACTGATCCACAGTGACTAGCTCAGGCTAAACATTATTCAGCACCCGAGTTATGTTTCACCCCGAAGCAGCTGATTAAGAATGAGGCTGATTTATTAACATATACATGGTGGTAAGAAAAATTGGTCAGTATGCACCTGTCATAAATTTGACATTGATTTTCCTCATTTCTTTTGCAGTATACCAATGTTTCCATGCACATATTAGTAAATGAGGGTCCCAGAAGTCTTATTCAGATGCAGTTTTGCAAACCTAAGCTGTGCTGCTTTGTTCTTTTTAGAAAGAAGTGGCTTTCTCTGGCAACTCTTCCAAAAAGTCATACTTGCTCAGTCTTTTTCTATTTTTAATCTCATGAATTTGAATTTTTAAGATGTTAACTTAAACCTGTAGAGTCTGAGATGTAGCTTGTTGGTTCTTTGCAATCTCTCTGACCATTGGACGGTCTGACCTTGGTGGGAAATTGCTGGGAAGGCTCAGAGTGCTCTCACCACCCAGTTTCAAATATTTTTTCCACGTTTGGGCTACATCCACACATACACAGGTACTTTTTTTAAATCCAAGTTGATTTCCATCCACATTTAAATGCAAAAAAAAATCTTAGACACTGTCAATTTCATGCTAAAGCAACAGATGGTGATATAACCCAACCATGAAGAAATGTTGGCCAATAAAAAGCCCACAAACAATAACAAGGCACACAGTCTGACATAAAAAAAGATAGGGAGAGATAAAGGTGCACAGCTTTCATGTTGCGAGAGAAAAACCTAAATGTTCCTTGTCCACACATAAATGCAGATATATAGATTTAAAAAATTTTCACCCTCAAAGGTATTTTTCAAAAGCTGTTTTCAGTGGTTCAAACTACCACACAGTTAAGTTAAGTTAAGTTAAGTTTACTAAAATACTCATATACAAGCGAACATAACTTTGGATCTGCATGATGTCAAAAGATAGCAGATAGTCTCAGTATGGTTACCTCAGGTACAGTGAACATGATGCTATTCAAATTCTTTGTGTGAGGTGGACAGCCAGTCAGAGGAAAGATGAATTAAAGAGAGGGTGGCTTCAAAGGAGGCAGAGCCAAAATAGCTTAGTTCAGACAGTGGATGAACTGAGGTGCTGTATCAATGGTTGTTATAAAATACATAAGGATTATTTTGGAATCTGAATCATGCAACACAACTCTATTAAAGTCCAAATATAAAATTATGGAACTGGAAACGATCACAATACTCCCCTTATAAATATACAAGAAATAAATAAAGGAAATATGCTCCTCTTACATCCTCCCTGATCAGATTTATTATGCTGGATCAAGGCTCTAACTGCCAGGTTCTCTAATATGATGGCGTACAAAATTGCTGCTTTTTACACATCTGGAAACGACAATGTGGGTGGAACAAATACAATGCAAACCACAGAGTATTTTCAGAGACCAACAAAGGAAAAACATGGCTGAACAGATCAAAACAGATGCTTCTGCTTGGTCCGTGTTTCTATGGTAAAAACACATTTTTTGAAACTACACCATACCCACTCTACCACAAAAAAAAAGAAAAAAACATTGCCCAAAACTCTTTCAGGATTAACCTAAAACTGAAATTTAAATACAAAGTAAACTAAAATACATTTTTACAACAAAAAAACAACCTAATATCACATCATGAGTCATGTTCTCTTGTGTAAAGCATTAAATATTAGCACAAAATGCTAATCAGACAGTCAAACTCACCTTCCCTGAAACAATCTTTTCATAGATCTGAATGGGCTGATCAGCAAAGAAAGGCGGGTACCCTGCTGCCATCTCGTAGACAAGTACACCCAATGCCCACCAGTCTACTGCTTTGTTATACCCCTGGTGGATGTAGCGGGGGGCATGACAAGGATGGAGTAACGGAACAAGAAAGAAAAAACATTAAGTTAATTTAAGATAAAATATAAAATGATGCAGTAAATGTATATTTCATCATATGTCTGTAATGAATTGTGTACACGGGTAATATCAACAAATGCACCAATTCCCCAGACAAAAAAAAAAACCCCACAGAAAATAAATGATGAACTATCTCGATAGTCTGTTATTTACAGTAAAATTACAAATCAATAAAGTGGCTTGTTTTATTCCACATAATTAATTGTCAACTCAGTATCTCCAGATTATAAAGTGTTATATAAAGCTGCACACAGTAAGGATGCATTCACAGCCTGTTAGCCTTAGTTACTGTCAGTTACTGGACAGCTTGTGTCTACACGTGTCTGTATCATAGTTAGTACACATGGTTGGAGTACTTGGACCAAAGCTTTAAAAGGTCCACTCACACTACACTCGAGGTCCCAAATGAATTCCTATATACATGGTCTCAGAGACTCAATTTTATTCAATCCTTATTCCAATCTAACTACATATTAGCTTTCCAAGATATCTTACACTCAATATGTTTTCCTAATGCAAAGTGCAGATATGTACTGCTACAATGTTCGACGTTCACATTAAGCATAGCCAAACTTTTAAAATAATAAGGCTTCAGACAGCTTTCAACACCCAGTTTCTGGCACTCTGTTTAAGCTTGTGGATCTGCATGATGACAAAGACACCAAGAGTGGTCATCTCAGATACTCAGCTTTTGCCTGAGCACATAAGCCCCACCCACCTGCTATTCAAATCATTCATTTGTGAGTTGACTTAAAGCGAGGGTGGCCTCAAAGGGAGAGGAGTGAAAACTTGTTTCAGTCACAGTGGAGGAACTGAGGGGCTGCACCAAGTCCCAGAATAAGACAAATGATTACCTCGAACTGTGAATCATGCAAAACTACAATAATAAAATCCCAAAAAAATAAAAATACAGAGCATGAAATAAAGAGAATAGCTCCATTTTAATAATGATATGTCAGTTTTCGATAATGATATGTTCACTTCTTGTTGTGAGGAGTATCTTGGGATGCCTTTGAGACAAAAAGCTTGTCTGTTAAGACTAAATTTGGTGACTTGTGGTACATTTTATTATATACACTGGATTTAATAATTGCTTTAATGACTTTTCCTGTCTGATTGTAAATATATATTTGTAAGTCATTCAGTCATTTAGCGGAAACCTCACTTACATTATAGTTTGGATTTATTGGAATTAAAAGTTTAGCCACATTATTTAGTATTGTTTATAATATTGGGCACTACCATTCAACACCATTTGGATGAACTACTTTATATAATTATTTGTGTAACATTTAAAAGTTGCTTATTTAAAGCCTCCACCCATCTCTGACAGCAATTTTTGATCCTACCTTCAACTGTTGGGAAAAAAAATGAGGAATGTGAATGTGGCAGTCTTCCAGTGACCTGAGCTACAGAGAGCACAGTGAAAATACTCTCCCATCATTTTGGTGTTTAAGAAAGAGAAACTTGAACCTGCTTGTCACTCACAGAGTCTATAGATCACAACCCACCAGGGTTACAAAGCCCATAAATGTCTATATATATACAAACTGCAGCACTTCAAATGTTCTTTTAATACTTATTGCACAATTTTAAAGTTGCTGGCACGTAAGCTACCCAAAGCCTGGCACCTAATGAGGATGCTGCCAGTCTGTGCAAACAACAATATTCTTAATGAGTTTTGTCATCAGTGTTTTGCTAACATATGTCACACACTGAAGAGACCTGTGTGTTCTCTACTCAGGTGTACACAACTTCTCATCTGTGTGCGCACACATTCATAGAGCATCTGGGGTGGGACTGATACAGACAGATGGGCATGTTTTTGTGTCACAATGCTCCCAGTATCTTAAAGCGTATATGCACATGTAGAGTGAACCGCAATTTGCTTGTCAAAAGTACTGGTAAAACATGTCCTGCTAGGATTATCTATATGACTGTATATTACTGCAGATTATTCGTGTGATCAGCTTTAAATTCACAGGGGTGTAACGCTGGTATTATAGTTTGCAAGTAAGCAAAGTAAGCTATTGGACCTTCACATATTATCACATGATTTTTAGGACTTGTCCTGAAAGAAAAACCAACAGTTATGCATTTGTCTTCCAGTTGGACTCCAAGCAAACTGTAAAAATGTATAATAGAAACAATCTCTCCTATGAGGTACCTACAGCTATCCACAAGTGAATATAATCCTAGCCTTAAAAAACGAAGAAGCCTCTACCCCAAGCTTAAAGTTAGTTCAGCTGGCTGCCAAGCGCACCTTGCTGAGAATGATCTCTGGAGCCAGATATTCTGGGGTGCCACACAGTGTCCAGGTCCGGCCCTTCACACGTTTGGCAAAGCCAAAATCTGTAACCTAAGAGGAGACAAAGAACAATGACAACGACAGTGAGTAAAAAAATAAAAAATAAAAATAAAAAAAAACCAAGAAAAAAAAGAAAAAGAAAGAAAATTCAAATAGGCTAAATAACACCACATGAAAGGCAGCAAGAAAGAGAGGCACTAAAAACAGCCGCATCAAGGGAAATTGTCACCAGCTGTTATGCAACAATTCGCCACTAGAGGGTGGTACACCAGCACACAGAGACGATTCCAGAGTGAAGAACACCTTTGTAAGGTTAACGAATCTCACACTGAAAATAAATGTCCTCATATCTGTTGAGCTGTACGTGGCATAAAATATTCTAATTTTGAGCTCTAGAAAACTCTTACTGTGATGATAGTTTTAAAATATTTAAGTAAAAAGATGTTAGATAAATGGAATAAAACAGATGGATTAATGTGTGCTAAAAAAATTACTGTCAGTTGCAGACATAATAAATATGGAACACAAATTCATCAGCACGGTCTGTGAAGGATAAATAATTAACAGTAAGTTTGTTACCTGTATGTAGCCCTGTTGGTCTATGAGCAGGTTTTCAGGTTTCAGGTCTCTGTAGATCAGGTCCAAAGCATGGAGATACTCAAAGGTCAGAACGATTTGAGCAGCGTAAAACCGAGCGTGAGGCTCACTGCACATAAACACAACGAGACAAAAGGGGATCTGTTTGGTGATCGAATAGCAGAGATGACTTGAGTCTAGCATAGAGATGAGAAGAGCTGAAAATACTGCCGTAGGTTAGGAGACATGATAGAAGAAAGAATACTGAATGGGAATTAATACATGGAAAAGATGTAGGCAAGCAATACTCTACATTATACTATAATCTGAAATAGCATGACATTTGTTTGCTGCTTTGGGATAAGCCAGATCATCTTGCAACTTTGGATTAAGCTGTTAATTAAGTTATAATGTCATGTAACTCTAGACATGGATAGTATAATAATTCTTCTGGGGAAAAAAGGTTTTTAAATCTTATATTGCGACACAGTATCCAAACTTTTCTAGAGTTGTTGTGCTTTGTGCCTATGTAGAATACAAGATAACAGAAATGCTTTCAAAGTCCACTGTTTACTCTTGTAGCAATCCACAAAATGCTTCTGGATATAAACTTTATTCAAACACTGACCTAAATCTGCCAATTCTCCGTAGATGGGAAAACATCTCGCCACCTGGCACATACTCCATCACCATGTAGAGGTTAGTGTTGTCCTGCGGAAAGGAGGACGAAGGTTAGTGGCACTCACACAAACACACAAAAGCATGCCCATGTATGGATGCACTTCAGGTACACACATATACAGGAGTTAAAACTCAATTACGTGAGCTAAAAAAGAGAAGAGCAATTTCACCAGTTACCAAATTGCTTAATCTAGCTGGTATTTTGCTAGTTAGCATTAACTGACTATTATTTATAGTATTGCCATATAAATAATAAAGTACTTTAACCCAGGAACGTTACTGAAGGCCTGGTTTGTATATTGTGTGTTGTTTATATCACAGTTTTGCAAGATATAAGTAGTGTAACCGACTAACACAAATCACACTGCGTATGTTTTGTTCTTGTTGACTCTTCCTCCTGTGTGTAGGACAACACACGTGGACCGGAATATTCTGTTAATAGGTTTATTTAAGGTGTCTAGGATAGTCAATCCCTGGCTTTCCAGGTGCATCTAAACAGCTTAACCTGAATAAGGCATTAATTGGAGTATAGCCATCAGCAGGATTAGTCTGTGCACGTCCATGTCACACGCTCATGTGACATCTAAAGCCAACTTCACCATGTACTTACATACAACTCAACAGGACTGACAGTGGTGATGAAAGGGGTAGTAGACTGAAAGATTAATGCACTATAAATTATTTAATTTTAATCATTAAAACAATCAGAGTTGGTGCTCAATTTTCAAAAATATTACAAATAGGCTTCTCATCTGCTGGCCAAAGATACTTGTAAACACTTCCAAGAGGTCTTTAAAAACATGCAGACTTAATGTGACCACTTAGTTCATAGTTTGAATAAATAAAGCAAATTATTTTTTGAATTAACTAATTTGTGTGTGAGTAACCAAACCATCATTGGATCTGTAAAAAATTTTAGCCGTTTTCTGCTTATTATTGTTTCAGAATCATTTTAAGTACAGGTATGCATAACACATGTTAAACAAAGCACTGACCATTGCCAGCAGTGACCAAAGTAACAACTAGCAGTTGAAAATAGTATTTAGTGGCAAGTTAGTAACTTCAGGAGTTGGTTGAGACCAGCACAAAGATGGATATATATTAATCAGGCAGCTAAGAAACAGCTTCGAATGGATCATAACATTTGTCTGTGGCTTTTCAATGAATTAATAAGAGAAACTTTGCTAAAGAGTTCTTTTATTGTTATTTTAATTGTGTGAGAAATTAAGCAGTCACGCGCTGTCATCAAACAACCACAGGCATGTGTGCTCTCACACACCTAAAATAATCCATACCTTGAATGAGTACTCTAACCGCACCAGAAAAGGGAAGCTGACAGCCTGAAGAATCCTCTTCTCATTTAGAGTGTGCTCTATCTGCTTGAGCTTGACCACCTGAAAGGCAGAGAGAGACAGAAAGAAGAAGGAGAGAGAGAGTGAGAGAGAGACATTTTACCCAGTAAGACAAGAGTGTGAAATTTAAGGCAAATATGAAACTACCAATTTTCATTTAAATACATATCTGTTAAGACATCTCTCACAGGTTGAAGTAATATGATGCTGCCTATGGCCCAATCATCACAATATTTGAGTGTTTTTGCAATTGGAGGATTATAACATGGGTGTCTGTGGCACCATTACTGGAAAAAAATGCTGTATTAATAAGTTACTGATAATGAAAACCGAACATTTCCTACTGCTGCATCTTCCCATTAAAACCATTTAACTTTTGAAAAATGAGCTTGCTTTTATTATGAAGTATCAGCTGGAAATGCATTGTGTTTGTTACTGTTATCATTCATTAAAAATGGATCAACAAAACAATATAACTGACATATTTCTTTGACAGCAGATCAGTTTGAGATACTGCAGAAAGTAATGGAACAAGAAGCAACAGCCAGAGTGAGCTGTAAGATGAAGCGCTGCAGGCAAAAGACTGCACACCTCCAACAAACTTCTTTCACTGTACCCTTCTGCTGACATTCAAAATCATATCTCAGCTGCTCACCAAATGATAAAAAGACTCTTACTTATTTCATTACTTCTTTATGAAAAGACAGTAGTATTACTGTCTCCAAAATTGTGTAACTTTAACAAACAGACACTCCAGGTACAGCAAGACATCTGTGGCATTTACGAAAACAACCTGAAGTCCGTATTCTCAAGATTTTCCTCCATAATTAAGACTATAGGCCAGTGTGCTATTGTGCCATGTCTTTGAACTTTAAAATAACTATGAAACGTGTTGGGGTTTCATGGGAAATCAGCTTAGAGTTAGAAGTAGTTTAGATGAAAGGAGGTTGCAAGGCGGATAGTGCAAAATTTAACAGGAAACAAGAGTTTGTGGCAGATTTTTGGCTGGGAAGACTTATGAACATATTCTACATCACCAGTTACAACAAGGCTGCATCGGAAAGGTGGCAGCACCTGGTTAAAATAGTGTTCTCTTTTAAACCTCACTTGGTATGCCACTTGGGCCTCTCTGGCGAGACCAATCACAGATACTCCACTTCCACCACTTCCATCTGTAACAGACCAATCACTTCAAGGACACAGGCTCGCCCGACCCCCTTTATAATAGGCCCTGGCCCCACACCAGGCATTCTTGCTTTCTTCCCTGTGAAGATCATTAGAGCTTAACCAGTGATCCTGGACCATGGTTATCCACTTAACAGTTTACAGATCCAGTTGTGAAAGGTATTCCCTGAACGTTTCTGGTTTCAGGATTACTAACATAAATATTTTATTTAATTATATTTTAATTATGTCAGTATATTTTTATAGTAAGCAGTCGTCGTGTTGTTGCAATTCTGCACCTTATCAAGTCAGCACATCAAGTGAGCTTGTGCTTGTATAGCTATTTGCTAGCTGTCCAAGCTGAAAATTGGTGCCTATGGGTGCCACTGCATTCTCTCAGGGAAATGGTAGTGGTAGCAAGGTTAGGGACGTTGCTTTTGCTGGTTGAATATCTGAGGGACCCCCCCCCCCCACCCCTCTTAATCACTTATGTGGGTGTCAAACATGCAAAGGCAAACAGAATCCTGGAGTCGCATTTGCAAGTGCCCAGTGCCTCAAAAGCCGATCCCTGTCTTTCTGACACTGCAGCGAAGCTGAGCAACATACCCAGCTCAGGTTGCACTTGCTGGGGGGATATGATCAAAGACCCCAAGGCTGAACTTACTCCTCTTTTAATCAGCTCCTCAACTCCAAGGAGGAAGAAGATGAGGATGAGTTAAAAAGTATCTTCTGATGATAATGATGACGATGAGGAGGATGTCATTTTCCCTCCTATCCAGGCATTGTGGCCATTTTCCATCTTCCCCATAAGGTCACGCTTATATATATATATATATGATATGCAAGCATGTAATAGCCAGTGTCCCAGGAGGTGTCCTCTCTGCAGATGGATATGAGATGTCATCTGAGTCCCAGTCACAATTTCTCTAAATATCTGGTAGCTATGTCTCACTGGAGTGACCCAAAATTGTTCATAACCAGTGTCCTCTTATGTATGGTGGTTATGAGGAAACAGATGCTTGATTGAAAGGTTAGAAGGCTGTTTTTGAGGGGAGGGCTGTCAGAGGTACCTGGCCCCAGAGACTCTTATAAATTAGCAAGAGCTGATGGCAATTTTCTAAACTGAGGCACAAAGGCAAGTTTAGGCCTTCAGGGATTTTTTGGTATCTTTCCATAGTTCCTGTTTGCAGTCCCTTCCCTTGCCTTTGTGCCGAGGTTTAGGGAATCTAGCTTAGCTTTTCATTAGGGCTGTGACACTAGATGGTGGAGGCTATAGTGATGGCATGATTACCAGTGCAAACAGCATTCACCAGCATCCACATTCTACCAGAGAAATGGCTTCCTTGTGGGGCCTTGTTAAGGGTGTTTCTGTGGATTACATCTTTGTTATTGCTAGTTGGGCTTCCACACTTTTTTAAATTTGTACTGTTCTGATGTAACTGCGTCCTCACTTGCATGCTCAGGCCTTAATGAGGCCTGCTAGCTGAACGTTGGGGTTGGTGTGAGGTGTCGGCCTTCGAGGTGCTATTGGCAGGAGAGCATGCAATTTGGGAGTGAGCTACATTTCCAATAGTGCGATACCAAATAAAGCTTAAAAGGCAATGTTTGTTTACCAGGGTAACCCCAGTTCTCTGAAAACTGAGGGAGTTATTTCATCGCATTGCCCTATTTGCATGTGCAAAAATGGCTTGTGTGGGGCCAGAGGCTATTTTTAAAATGGTTTGGGGACCCTATGTCCTTGAAGTGATTTGGTCTGTCTTAGATAGATGCGATGGTAGTTTAGCTTCTGTGAAAGTATTGGGTTTACCCTGGGAGATGACCCTGTGGACCAAAAACTCCATCTAAATTGTTTACTAAAGTTAATTTTCAGTACAACAATATGGTGCTAAGTATGCAGAGGCAATAAATAAATAAATAAATAAATAAATAAATAAATAAATAAAAGTATAATGCCCACCTCCCTGAAACAAGTGCAACATAGACTTTTTTGTGAAAACAGCCATAGCAAAACAACACCATCGTGTTCATGTACATTCATTCTCTCACTCTCTCAGGCATGTGTTCTGTCAGTAGTACTTGCAGAAGACTGTAAATTCATGGATTACCTTCATGTCCCTACTGATGTAAAAATTATTTTGCCAGTACTTTAGTACAGCATGACAGATAGATCGATATAGATATTCATTCTGATTTTGATCTTGCTAAAATCCCAATCTCAGTGTTTTATCAATAAGATGATAATTAAATGGTAAATGGTCTGTATTTGTATAGCACTTTACTTGGTCCTAAGGACCCCAAAGCGCTTTACACTATACACAATCATCCACCCATTCACACACACATTCACACACTTTAAGCCATAATATAATTATATTGTGGATTAATTATCATCTTATTCACAGATTAAGTCAAAGATTTATTTTAACTGAATATTAAAATTACTCTGGTGTTATCCATGTAAAGACAACCTCTGCTCTGTGACTGTAACTAATCCCTGCTTTCAGCACAAGTGGGTTCAGATAATAATTTCACCTGTATTTGAAGGGCCTTTAACAAAATGCATAAAAGAATAAAATCTTCCGAGTGCAGTATTCACATCAATTACATTTCTGTTTTCTGTGGGAAGACTAACTAAAAAATGGATGGGAGCGCATTTAAACACCCCAATCCCTCTGTGATTCTGGTGACCCCTGACCCAGACTGACCTTCTGCTTGTTGAGGATCTTCATCGCATAATGTTGTCCCGTTTCTCTGTGCTTCACCAGCATAACACGACCAAATGAGCCCGTGCCCAGGGTTTTCAACCTCTCAAACTGCTCCAGGCAAGCAGTGTTCTGAACAGACAAAACAAAAACGGTTAGCTGAGTTTTGTGAAAATGGGATATTTAGGGTCATGTTGCTGGTAGCGAGTTTTTATTTTCAGCTACTCGTGTGCTCACATTTATCACTAATTCTTGTATTTTCATGGTATATATTCTTTGCACATGTCATAAACAAATATGCAATAGATAATATATATAAATTAATATATTTGGTATGTATGGTTTATAATTTCTTAATAGAAAGTAATACACATGTGCATACAGGATACAGTGTAAATTTGAAGAACAATAAAGAAAAAACTTTTACTCGTGTTTGTGGTACCTGAACTGTTTCTCAGGCTCAGATGGTCCCAGAAACTTATTTATCATAAATAATTGATGTTTTCCTACATAGAATCAAATCATGCTTAACAGTCATATATTTTTAGATACTGTCATAGACGGTTTTGCATACATATGTGATAAATATTGGTTTAGGCTTAGATATTCAGCTTTATCTCAAAAGTCAAAACAAAAATATTGCCTTCACTGCAATTTTTATACCCAGTGCCATAGTTTGAGCTGCTCAAGTGTAATTGGATCATTGCTACATAACCCGTTTCACTGACAGCTGTGGGTTGTTTCTTCATTACTTCTTCCGAAGTAGAATAAAAAATAAAAACATTTTGAAGATGATTTCAAGTGTGGTACATGCATTTGGGAGCTATGAACCCACAACATGTGTTTGAAAGAGCTCTCATTTCAAGTGAAACAAGCTATCCTTGAGATCTATTTAAAAAAAAAATGCAGTACTGGTGAGCTTTGCTCAGTATTACAGTATTGCAATGGGCCCTTTTATCATTGTGTTAATTTGTTCATTTGACAATCTGAAAATAATAAATAAAACTGAATAAAAATTCAGTATATTTTTTAACCCCAAATTCATCATTTAACTTCAATAAGCTTAAATAAATACTAAAAAAAATAAGCCAGTGTCCCAAAACATACGGAGAAAATTATATACAGTATAAATTAAAACAATGTTGATACAGATTTATGTATATTTAATGGTTTAATTAATGTCTATGAAGAATATTAGGTGATCTAAAACAAGTGAATAAAAAAAAAAACACACACACACACACACACACACACACACACACACACATAGCTTTAGGGTTGATACAGTTGACATTGCCCTGGGAATATTTTCTAACTTTCTTACTCATACTGCATACAATATGAAATATGTATACTGAATATAAATTTGCAGCATTAAATATTACAAAACATATGGAGTTGTTTTATGTCACAGTTTACTTGAAACAGTAACTTGCATTTTAAAAACAGTCAGACAGTAGCATCATCACTAACCAGAAGCCAATAAATAATAAAACTGATGCTATTTACAAACAAATGTATTTATACCGCCATCTGTATATATTAAAATTATAATTTTCGGTGATTTGCATAAAGTGATAGCTGGTAATACTGAACAAATAAACAATAAAGACATGAAACAAGTGAAATTTCAGTAGCTATGATTGGCATTTTCAAAAACAGCAGCCCACACAGAAGTAATGTATATATTTCTTTGGCCATACAGAATTGGGAGTGAAAATTCTGTTTTTCTAACATGCAAACAAAGTTAGGATTAAAGTACAAACAATAAATCCTGTGTATCATATTTCTGAAGCTTAGTGGGCAGACTTAGTACACACACTAACCTGTGCAGGATTCTCCCACTTTTTGAGGAAGTCCTCTTTGGCTTTAGCAAGGAATTCCTTGACTGTGGAAAAAACACACACCAGTGTTTACATAAGAAAGGCTTTAGTGGGGCATCTGTGTGTATACAGAAAGTGAAACAGCAAAATAAAGAAACAGAACACCTACTTTATTGTCTGAAGTCAACAGCACAGAGTCTGACTAAAAATTGTTAATTAAATCAAATTTTATTATCCATCGTAAAACCACCTGTTCATAACTATTACTCACAAAGACCCAGTGGCTACATGGATGATTTGTCAGTGTGTAGAAAGTTTTGAGACGTACACTGATCGTCTTATCTGTCTGTAAGGTAATTCAGGCTGTTGGGATTTTTCTAAATGTACAGCAATTAGTCCAGATATGGCTGATAGTCTGAAAACTACATGCAGAATATTCTCAAGTGCAAAAAAAATACCTGAACTTGAAATCTCATGAACAAGTATACTCGTTTAAAAGCTTAAATCCCAGGACACATTTCAAAACACTTGTTGACCTATTAACTATCAACACTTTCCCTTCTCACCTTCACTACAAGTGTCAGCTGCTCAGTGACCGGTATGCATTTATACCAAGTAGCTATGCCATATACTTAGATGTCTTGATTTAAATGTCAAGCATTTAAGCCTTTTGGAATAACTGTTTCTTTGATTTTCTTAAAAAGAAATCCATCACAGTATTCAGATTTACTCCAGTTTGTGACACATACATAACTAAATAAACCTTTACATATCATTTCCTAGTAAATTGCTATTTCAAAAATGATGAATTTAAAAACAAACACAAAAGTATAACCCCAGACATGAGCACATTCATCCTTCTATATTTGGACTTACAGTACAGCAGACAATCAGACTAACTCAGTGTCAATCTGCAAACCTTAAGGGGGTTCACCAAACAAAATAGCCCCCACACTTTCAGCAGCATCTCTTTCCAGAGACAACAGGCACTGTGCGTTTGGGAAATATCTGACACATAGCTTGTTGTGATCTCGCCAAGATTTGAGTACAAGAGGATGTGAAGTTGCCAAGATTCTTGCAGTTTACAATAGCTGTTGGTTGTTTTGCACCTCGTGAAGTGATTTGGCTATGGAAACGGTACTACCACCTGCTTTATTATAAAGCAGCATCAACTGAATCCAAAGAAAAAGCTCTGTTCAAAGCGGAATACTACTACCGAGCACCTATTCGTCTGTCTCTATATTATGAGGTTAGTTAATTGAAATGTAGCTGCCTAATTTGGGTTCTTGAAACAGGCTTATTTAAGGACTGAGCAGGATGAGTGGATCTTTTTAAATCAGACAGCAGAAATAGGCCGCTGCATGGAATGTTAACCGAAGCTAACATAGCCGCTGTGTCACACCGTCTCTGGTGATTTCGTGAGTCTGGAACAGAGCAATGTGTTATGTGTAGCGTACAGGCGACGGTACCCACCGCTTTCCATCTCGCTGCCCTTCCTGGCCGTGGGCGCGTTGCCCATGATGACAACCTGTCAACGGGCGATCCGTGGCTTTTTGGCCGCCCTGCAGCCTTCTCAAGCCGATCTAATCTCGATTAGGTCTGTTCGGTATTTTCTAAATCCAAAAGCACCAAGCGTTAACTCCGAGGTCTTGGTCTTTAATAGCCTGGCAGCTGCTGATGCGGTGCCAGGGCGAGACGAGATGGTAAAGCGGGCTCACTCACTCCTCAGTCATCAGCAACCGGCAATTGATATATAGTTCAAATCCACGGGGAGGATACCTTTGAGGTATCTCGGTCGTTGGGGCTTCACTGGACCGTAAGGCCGAGCTCGGCGCAGATGGCCTGAACACGGAGGATCCAGTCTTCGCCTGTCCCTCCTTGCAGCCCCCGCCGAACGAGCCCCCCCGGCTCCCCACCTCTCCCCAGCCTAAAGAAAAACGACACCAGAGGCGGGGACGCGATATTCTCAGCCCAAGAGCCGCCACTTTTTGTTACCAAACCCAGCTTTTAAAAATTAAACCTCGGCGGGGTCCGACGACGACGGGAATTCACCCAAATCAACATTGGCCCCCCGTAGCCTCGGAGACGAGCGAGATGACGGAACTACAGTCGACTGAACGTCCCGCCTACTAGCCAGAACCGGTTTTTGATTGACAGCTGCAACCAGCCCGCGGATTGGCAACCTATGTATGCCGGTATCCCACGGAAGGCACTGATTGGCTCTTCGCAATCCATCAAGAGCGGCACCATCCTACCGCCCTACACAAAGCGAGTGAGGGGAACGTCACCGATTATTTTCCTCCAGACGACATACCCGCCCACTTTTCCTGGTTTCCGTCCTCCATTGGATAGATGAGGGCGAACCGTGGGAATCTCGGCGAATGTGAAGATGTCCATTGGCTCTGAGTAACGATTGGCAGGTAGAAAAAAAACCCTCTTCAGCCCCCCACTCCCACCGCCACCAAGCGACTGATACACGTTTGGCCAAGTGACGTCAACCGCGAGCTATTTTTAGAAATGTTGGTCAGAATTTAACGCACGCGCGGCGCGGTCGGGCTGGCAGGACTTCTAAACATTTCGCAGACCGCCGTGCATTAAATGAGTGTATTTAGTGAGAAATAATATTAGGAAACAAGACGGTCTTTCTAAACACTCAGAGAGATACCGTCTCTCTGAATATTTTACAGTCACCGAAACCCTCCAACAGCCTCCTTCAACACAGCACATCCACCCCAGCACCTGGAACACCTGCAGGCTTAGCCTAGCATATGACCGAGAGTCCTTTTATGAACGGGACCTTCAAAAGGCTCGGTTTCACATGGATTTGCATCTGAATATCTAATTTCAATAACAATTTCACCTTGTGCTGGTAATTAAAAAAACAAAAAACAAACTTATGGTATGAAAAAAAAAATCCATTCTATGAATACGAGATCTCTCAGCTGTTGCAGGGTGTGACACCATCATTTGGGCTCACACGACACCACCACGGTTATGTAAAACGGACTCAAAAACCAAATCACTAATTCTGCTTATACTTGGTTGTAACTTACATATCACAGTCCCCCCCACACCGTACAGAGTGCTGTTAAAGGACAATTGAAGCTGCATATGGGTTTTACTGCTAAATATGAATATATGAAAAAAAAAAAAAACTGGTCAACTGTGCAGACATGTGAGAAGTAGACAGATGGATGGATGGGGGAGTTGGTCCCTTCAACTAAGATAAAATGTGCAAGAGAGCACAGACAGGCCCCCCTTCCTTTTGTGCAGCAGTTGCCTAGCAACATGAGGCTGGAGTGAAAATGGTGGTGCTGCATTTTATGAATGAAATCGGAAAACAGAAAGGAGCCAGAGATGGGAGGGCGAGGAGCGAGCCAACGTGCTGAGTCTCTCTACTGTTGCAGTGCTTCCTTCCACACAAGTCAAGGTGGAAAGCAGCCGTATGTAACATGTTCTGATTAACAGGAAACACAACAAGATCAACAAAAAAAACTTTATTAACCCCATCACTGTTGTTACAAATACTGAAGCTGAGAATATATAGTAAGTACAAAATGAAAACCTGCCTTCTTGTTTTGAAGACAAAATAAGAACAAGGAAAACATTATTTACAGTAAGCCTAAATCATCCACACACACACACACACACACACACACACACACACAAAATGCAATTTGGCATCCATCATTACCTACATGTTTTGCTCATATAGGCGTTTTATGTAACAGTAGGTGAACTGTTGCCTATTCACAGAAGCAGGTTTACCGAGTAATCTAGATAACCCTGGGGCAAAACATGTTAATGCGAATAAAGCCACTTGATGCCACAATATCATAAACATGGCCCATAATTCAAACCCAATTCCCTCCCCCCAGTAGGTGTCACAAGAGACAAATCTTACAAAGAATGAAGTGCTCTACTACAAGCAGCTAGGTGCTATATCCTTCCCATCGCATAGCACTAGTTGATCTGTGCAGAAAAGGACAAAATGAACAGCATGGGTATCAGAATCTTGAGTTTTTCCCACACGTTTCAGGTCTGTTGAAGTGACCTGGCCCAGCACTGATGATCTGCACTTCTTTCAGCCAGGCATGAAATATAATCTTATACAGAAATACAATAAATTAAGGCAAATCTGACTGTGCACACCTGTGTGTGTGTGTTGAAAGGAAGTGCGTAAAGAGGAGGAACCAAAGGTGGTAACCATTCCAGACCAATCCCATTTTTGAGTGCTTCATAAAAAGATAATGTCTATGCTGTGGTGTCCTGTGCTTTCTGTTCAAGTCCACATGTTATACAGAAACATCCATGGCCTCCTTGTATAAATGTGTGTTTGCAATGTGGGTGTGTATAGATAAGAAGGGCTCCTTATCCATTGCATTAATCTGATGCCTCTTACATGCAGTCCATGGAGTTATCTGGCATCACTCCTAGATGTGGCATCTTTCCTGGTATACAGGATGGAGGGAGCATGCCACTGATGTTGGGGGACGGGTCAACATTCTCACTGTCTTCCATCTTGTCTGCCAAGCCCTCCCAGTTGATATGAAAACGGGTGACACGAGGATTTGAGGCCAAAATATTCCTCTGGAGCTGCAATGATGAGAACATGTTAGAAATAGGGGTGGACTGCTAATGTTTTTACATGAGGACATAATTAGATTACTAATTAGGAGCCCAAAAGTTAGTTATGACAGCCATCCTTAGGAGTGCACATTTCCCCTCAGAACTTGGGATAGCTTTGAATTAAATACAATGAATAGCTGGTTTTATGTTGGATTTGTAGAAGGAAAAGACCAGTGTAAAGAGAATGAAGCACACGATAATAATTTTAATGCTAATGTTAAAGTAGATACTGGTACAAGAAAGCATAAAATTCCACCTGAACTAATGCATTCTTTTAAAACAATGCAAGACCAAATAAAACAAAAACACAGTGCTAACCAATCCCCAGGTAATTCTACACACACATACACGTACATAATGCTACAGTTATCTGTAATTGTACATTTCTGGGCACAAGAGGGCAGCAGAGAGCCATTTATAGTACTTTTCCACAAATATGGCCCATATTCTACACTTAATATCACCTAATGCTGATGTAATCTGGTCACATTACAGTAAATGCAGACAGCTGGAAACAGCTTTCCTCAGTATTATTCATGATGGTCATTTGTGTACGTGTGTATGTTACCTGAGAGTAATCTGGTTTGAGAGGTGGGTTTTCTCGCAGTTCAGGGTCCGTGTATTCATTGTTGACATAGTAACCGATGCGGATGAACTCCTGTCCACGGTAGGTGCAGGTTATAAGGACTACGGTCACTCCTACAGCATCGCTTTCTGGAATCAGCCCTGTGTTAGGAGCGTCAGCCTGATAGGGTAAATGAGCACAGAGAAGAAATCAGATGAAATCTAATTATGCTATAAATGAAACAGTAACTGGTTAACCAAACCAGGGATATCAAATACATATATGATATTGTGCAAAAGGAGTATGTGAAAAATCCCGTTTATAACAATTTTCAAGACATGGAACACTCAAAGAGCTTTATAGAGGTTAAAAAGACAAAATTGATACAAATGAACTGAGCAAAAACACAAACATAACCCAAATGCCTGTCTGAACAGATGCATTTTAAGCTGCTGTTTAAAGGATGCCACTGAGTGGGAAGTGCAAAGAATGAGTGGGAAGCTGTTCCAAAGTTTTGGAGCTAAGGTTTGGAAGCCACAGTCCCCTCTTAGTTTTCAAAAGGATATATGAAATCACAAGAAGGCCTCTGAGGACCTACGAACCCAGCCTAGAGAATAGGGGTGGAGCACTTTGATAATGTAGATGAAAAACCAAAATTTTAAACTACTCTAAACCTGACAGAAAGCCAGTGCAAAAATGTTAAAAGTGGACTGATGTATGAAGACTTTTGAGAGTCAGTTAAGAGTCTCACAGGAGCATTTTGGACAGACTGAAGGGAATTAGTAGATGCTTCAGTCAGAACAGAAAACTCCATTCAATAACCTAAGCAAGAGGAGAGGGAGGCTTGGACAAGAACCTCCAATTCACTTCTTGAGAAAACAAGCTGAGGTACTTGTCCATGCCTTCTTGTCCTCTTAAAAGTAGTCATACATCAGATGAAAAATCTGACGGTACTTTTCTGCACTTAAAGTTCACACCACTTTCTGAAATTTCTCACCATTAGGTGCCTTTTTTCTTTTACGGTTGAATGGTTCATAGGTCATTGTTAAGTGACTGTAAGAAAAAAAAATCCTTTGAAAATATCCAGGTACAAGGACTACATTGAAAACTTCTGACCAAAAAAATAGTCAATGTCCAAAGAAATACTGAAAGGTCAGAAGACTTTGGAAAACTATTGTTCAAGACCACAAAAATGATAAGTCTTGACTCCTTGATAGCAAAATATAATAAGAAATTAGGCTTGACTTAGTATAGGCTTGCACAGTACTGTATAACTCATTGAGAAGTTGAGTGCAGAGAGACTTTGTTGACAATTAGCATCACAAAGTTCAAGCTTAGTCAGAAAAGGGGATACGATGCTGCCTCACATGGAGAAGCTCATCTGTCTTGGGATCTTGTTTAGAGACAAGGGTAAAGTGGAGCAGGAGAATGACAGATCTATATGATCTATTGCGTTCAATTGACATTTCTACCTTCACCTACGGACAAAAATACAAGGTAGAGACTGACAGAAGTAGACCACAAATACTAGCGGAGACAATCCTCCACTACATCTCTGCATCAGGTGTTGTAGCAACATGTACTGATCCCAGTGAGAACCCCAGCCATGATGTCTCTTGGCCGGTCTGGGAACCTCTCAGTTTCCTCTCAGAAAAGCTGGGAAAAAGATGCTGGGACAGTGCGATCTGGTATGTCTGCTTTGAATACTACTCAACAGGGTTTGTTTTAAATAAAACTGGATGTTAAGTATTACATGATAAAAGCTCACTGAGAGGACTCACCTGAAACACAAACATGTGTCTGCCAGCTGGTACAGGGCCCACTAAAACAGAGTCCAAAACCTGGTCGTACTCCTCGCTCTCAGCTGAACCCACATAAATGATCTTCCATTCCAGGTCTGCCAGTACACAGAGGACAAATAGGGAGGTTTGTTTTTAAATTATTATTATT